AATAGAAAAAAAACAAGATCCATAGTAAGCTAATTGTGTTGTCTGATCCATGGATTAATCAGAGTTCTCTGCTGCAGTGGGCTCTCTGGGGAATAGTGATTAACTCCCAGGCTTCCCTGGGAAGTGTCAGCATGGACCACACACTAAAGGCAGCAGAAGTAGATCCCTGGAGATGCTCTGGGCTCCACTTCTCTCCCTGTGGTTAAATATGAGGTTCTGAAAGCTTCCACTGATACTATCTTGGTTTCCTTGCATCTTTGGTACTACTTTTTTATAAACTGTTTCTGATTGTTTTTATAGTACCAGTTGAACACAATGTGGTATTCAACCCCATTCCTTCCCACCACCACCCTCTAAACAAAAAGCACAAATGGAAAATTTTTAAATTGTAGAGGGGTAACTTTTAAATGTCCGAAATCTTAATTATTCTTGTAGCTTTTCATGATGTTTGTTCTCCAACACAAGCTGCAAAATAAATAAATAAAATTTAAAATCATGAATCCACTTGACTTTTGCTAATAGATCTTTTGGATGAAATCTTTGCTTGATGTCTGTATATTTCTTTAGCTTCTCCTTGAGAAACAGAGCTTACCCTGAACTAAGTCCCAGTTAAATGCTTTTGTTTGTTGTTTGTTTAGTTAATAGTTTTTGACAATTGTTTAGAAAGAATCCTAACATAGTGCTTGGGCTTTAGACAGACCTGGTTGTTTCAACTCTTTTACTAGCTACATGACTTTGATGAAGTTACTTAATCTCTTTGAGTTTTTTTTTTTATTATTTCCTCATCTATGAGATTATTGTGAGAACTGAGCGAGACCATGAGTGAATGGTAAGTGAACTGATGTATATACAGTGCCTGGCAAGACATATGCATAGTGATAGATCCTAACATGGGTTTCTTTGTCGATTTGAGTTAGAACTCAACCCTTAAGTCATCTGGGATGACTGAGGGCAAACATCAACCTTTGAAGTAATGGCTGGACAGAATCACTACTAATTGTATTTTGCACATTTCTAAAAATAAAGGTAATATCAACTTTCATTGTTTGTTAGCACATTAAATCATTTTCTTACTTCACTAACCTAGCTTAAATTTAAAATCATGAGGGGCTGGAGTTGTGGCTCAGTAGTAGAGCACTTGCCTGGCATGTATCAGGCACTGGGTTCAATCATTAGTACCACATAAAAATAAATAAATAAAACTTAAAATCATGAATCCACTTGACTTTTGCTAATACTTTTTTAAAAATATATTTATTTTTTAGTTGTAGTTGGACACAATACTTTCATTTTATTCATTCATTTTTATGTGGTTCTGAGGATCGAATTCAGGGCTGCACACGTGCAAGGCAAGTGCTGTACTGCTGAGCCACAATCCCAGCCCCTAATACTTTTTTTAACTTGACCAATGGAGCTAGATATCTTCACATATATTCCGAATGTGGCTATGTACTGTCTTCACCAGTGGTTATCAAGAGGAATTAAATGGGGTACAGGCAAACTAATCAGTGGGAACATGAAGAAATCCCACATCCCATGCTTTGTCCTGCTTCAGAGCTGCTTTGTAGCCAACAACAGAGTATGTCTCCACCTCCTTTTATGGTCTTCTTCTATGAGTGGAAAACAGTAATGTTTAGATAATTATTTATAAGCTATTTTGAGATAAAAATATGCAGTGGTGCCAACATGGAATGCAGTAGTCATTGCTGTGGAAGAGCTTCATGTTGACTGGGGACATCAAGCCCTGTTCAGTTCTGTGTTTACCCAGTACATTCTACTCCAAGTCTTGCTGCAAAGCTTGGGAAAAGAACATGAAGTATAGACTTAATAGCACCTGTCCTGGCCTCACCCTATGAGCTCATTGACAGTCACCTAGGATGCTCATTGTTTAGAAGGATCAAATCTTTAATATCAAAAGGAAAAAGAACCTCTCAGGGTAAAAGATAATGAGGAAAACATAACTAGAGCAGTCAAATATAAGGGCAGTTCATATTAGAGCTTTCTACTGCTTTTCCATTGTTTATTTCTATTTTTCCCCCCAGTAAAAATTCTTCCTTTTCCTGCAGGGTATGGTGGCAGACACTTGTATTCCCAGCTACTTAGGAGGCTGAGACAGGAAAATCACTTGTTCCAAGAAGTCCAAGGTTAGCCGAGGCAACATAACAAGACCTGACTTAAAAGAAAACAAAAAGAGAGAATTTCCTTTTCCAGTCTGGAGCTGGCTGTGAAGCCTTGCATAGGCTCTTGGTGTCTCTGGGCTTTTTTTTTTTCCTTGCCCTACTTCCACAAAGGTTTTGGGGATTGAACCCAGGGCCTCACCACTAAGCTACACCCCAGCTCCAGGTCTTGTTTTCTCGTCTGTGAAATGAAGATGGAGCTCCTTTCCTTCTTTTCTATGGTTCTGTGCTTACACATATCCAAAGGTCTTAGAATCTCAGTAACTGCTGACCTGAAGAAACATTAGGACAGAACAGAGTCCTTTGAGCTTCCCAGGGCTGGGGAATCATCCACATACAATAGGATTCTTTTAAATAAGTTCTCTCGGTATTGAATTTTTCCTTTCCCCAAGAGCTCTATAAAAATAGTGTTTTCTTGCCAGAGACATCAAGGCTCAGAACTACTGGCCTCCTCCTGTGAACAGTCTATGGTTTGTTTTTGGCTTGGGATCTTTTTTTAACAGACAGTCCAGCTCCACTGAGAGGCTGACTCAGCAGTACTTCTCCAGCACGTTCCTGCTCTTGTCAGGATCCCAGTGCCCAGTCCCTGCCAGCTGGGGCAGGCTGGGAACCAATGATACCCTATTCCCCCCCCCCCAACCCGTGTGTCCCAAGGGAAAAGAGACACTGCAGTGGTGCTTCTGTTTTCCAGACATGTCTCCTAATTCTCCTTAGGGTGTCATAACTTGAGCTCATTTTTGTTCATGGCCAAAGACTATCTCTCTCATGATACTCATCTCCCCAAAACCTATCAACCACATAGTCCCCGAGGCTCTTTCCTTCCTTGTTCCGCATATCACTGACTTATCCTCTGATCTGCCTTTAGTGTTTGCCAGAGATCCTCTTTCCCTTTATTGAAATCCCATCATAATCCCAAAGGCTTTAGGAATGTAAGATTCTGTATGCATACCTTTAAAATGTTTTTATTGTGGAAAATTTCAGATGTATTCAAAAGTAAAGAAAACAATATAGTGAACCCCGTGTACCTGTCACCCAGCTTCACTAATCATGTTTCATCTGCACCTGCAGCCCCCTCCCCTGGCCCCAGATTGCTTTGTGTGTTTTATTTTTATTTAGTTTTTAGGACATGGATATCTTTGAGGGCCATTGTTCAGCTGGCCATGGCATGTGGTGGAGGAGCCAGAGAACAGAGTCCTCAATCAAGTGGTTTTTATCTTTGTGATCTAGGACCATGTTAGTTCAACAACAACCAGAACTGAGTTTGAGTCCCCTAGGCCAGTCTTTTGACTGGGCTACACTCAAGGGTCAGGTGGGTGGGACAGCCATTGGAGGGAGAAAAAGAAGCTTTATGTCTAGAAATGTCAGGCTAAATTCCTAAATTTTATCAGGGCATGGTGACATATACCTGTAATCTCAGAAACCTGGAAGACTGAAGCAGGAGAATCATAAATTCAATCATAAATTAAAATCATAAATTTTACTAATTTGGCAACTTAGTAAGACCCTCTCTCAAAATAAAAAAGAAAAAGGGCTGAGGATGTAACTGAGTGGCAAAGTGTCCCTGATTTAAATCCGTACCACCCCAGCCCCCCCCCCATACACAGTAAAAAAATTCCTAAATTTTTAAAATAAGCTTATAGCATACACCATCCCTTTCTTCCTATTACCAAAGATATGGTTAAGAGGAAATTAACTTTTTTGGAAGGCGGTCACATTCAGTTACTAGACTTGTCTCACCCTGAGGAGGTGAGGGAGGTTGAGCTGATTTTGGAGGAGACTCCTCCAGTGCTTGACAATCGGATGACACAACCATAGTGAATGTGGAATGTCCACTGAATACCTTGACTGTTGAACCATTGTTAGGTGGCCTTTGCAACAAAAGACACACTGATGTTAGGCTGCAGAGGGTCTGGAAAGCCTAAAATGGTACAGGTGGTTCCAGAGCCAGAGGATGTGGCCTGAGTCTGAAGATTGGACTGGAATAGGGACACAATAACCTGAAGAAATATAGTCAGAGGTGAGGCACTGTCATAGTCAGCTTTTCATTGCTGTATCAGAATACCTGAGAAAATCAAGTTAAAGGAGGGAAGATTTATTTTGGCTCCTGGTTTCAGTTCATGATTGACCAGCTCCATTGTTTCTGGGCCTGTGTGAGGCACAACATCATGGTACAAGCAGCTGGTGGAGCAAAGCTGCTCACCTCATTGTGGCCAGGAAGCAAAGAGAGAGCAACCCCAGGTTATTTTGAAGTAAATATCACATGTTGTAGCAACTTTAGTGTTCTTTTTAAAGAATCCCAAACTCCTCCCAATTTACTCATGGGAAAGAAGTTAATCCTCTTTCAGATTTGACTGCATTAGCACTGCCACCTATGATACCTCATGCCACATCTACTTGGAAGTAGATGTCTCTCCCCTTTTTTCCCACAGTCCTGATTGGTGGAACAGTTGACAGAGAACAGGTTACTGTGTCCCTGTTCCAGTCCAATCGGCTCTCCTAATGAGGCTCCTCTTACAAGATAGCAGTTTAGATGGGAAAGGAAGGCTATTTGAAGCATGCTGGGGACCACTAGAAGAAAAGTGCCTGAGTCCCATTTCCCTATCAAGGATAAGGTGGACCTGCTTGTCTTTACTCATGATTAGTCTCTACGTGATAGACTGAGAAAAAAATTTCCCAAGACAAAGGGGGCCAATTCCTGTGAAAATAATGACCGAATTTCCACTCTGTCTCTTCCTTTTCCTATTAACAGGTAACACTCTTTTTTTTTTTTTTTTTTTCTCTCTGAAGGTTCTAAAGCCTGGTCTTGTCCTGTCTCTATTTCAGATGCAGTGGCAGAATGTGGAACATGTTGGTGACCAGAGCCCCTATGTCACTTCTGTCATTCTTCACATTAAGCAGAATGTCCCCATCATCCGTGACAACCTGGCTTCCACACGGAAATACTTCACTCAATTCTGCATCAAATTTGCAAAGTAAGTCCTGGAGCATTCTCATCACTGAGTTGTTCTTATTGTTTTGCTTTGGTTTTTTTTTTATTTTTTAAATAAAATTTTAAAAATTTTAAATAGACTTTACATTTCAGAGCAGTTTTAGGTTCATAGCACAATTGAGCAGATTTCCCATGTACCCCTTGGCCCACACGCATACTGTCCTCCGATATCAACATCCCCTCAGAGGGATACATTTGCTGGGGCTGATGAACCTACACTGATGCATTATCACCCAAAATATATGGTTTCCTTGGGTTCATTCTTGGTGTTTGTACTGTCTATGGGTCTGGACAGATATCTGATGACGTGTACCCACTGCTATAGTATGATACTCAGTGGGGTTCTTTTAGTGCCATACAAACCACCCAACATGCTCACAATCCTAGTGTCCCTACCATCCAACTGTGATTCATTCTGGTACCTGCAGGCAAATTGATATTAATCTGTATCCACAGGGATCATAATAATAAAACCAAGTCTGCTACTTAAGTTTATATATACAGTAGCAGTAATACAGTCATCAGCCACATCAAGGCAAACAAAAATGAGTTGGGAGACCCTGTTATTTTGAACTGTGTGGACATAACCACCCCTTGTCCAAATTGAGATAATTAAACTTAGTCTCAGTGATCACATGTGCTTTTTGTCTCATATAAATTTTTTAAGGGTAGGAACTACCAGTTCTGTTTCTTTTGAGCCTTCTCTTTCTTCTCCCCCATAGTATTTATTACTGTAGCTGCTAAGACTTATCCACTTTTGGATGTCCTTGTGTCCAAGGAAGGTACTAGAAATTGGGAAGAGCAAGTCAGGGAACTCCTTAGCCAAGGTAGATGGAATGAACAGTAAGCTACATGTGTTCCTGTCACATCCCTGTGTGTGGCCATTTCTGGCTTGAGTTTTGAAGCAAGAAAATAGTTTGGTCCTTTGCCAATCAGCATCTGGCTGTAGCACTGTCTCCTGTGAGATCAGACAGTGCACAGGGCCAGTGTCTCCTCTGACCAAATATCAAACAAATATTCTGGCAAATTTCTCAGGGAAGGGCTTCAGAAAGGTCAGCCCTGTCCAAGCTACTGTATTTGGATTGTTCTCATCTAGGTCCCAACTGGTGGTTCAGGACTCCAAGTTTATGTCTTCCCCAGATCTCTCCCAGTGTGTATTCAATTAAGGCTTTCCCTCTCTGACACAAATAAATCCCTAAGGAGCAACAATAATGGAGTGGCTTGTAGAGTCAACTTTAATTTCTACCTTGTCAAGAAAGGATCGAGTGGACTCTCCAGGGACGCATTAATGTTTGCAGTATGGCAGATGGACTAGGAGTTGACGTTCCCTTCACTCTCTTGATGCTCATTAATGTGCATTAAAAGTATTGCTGATTTATCACATTGTGACACTCCCCATAAGTACTGGTAGAAGTTTCTCTGTAAAAATTTATTGCAACTAGAAATCTCCTTCATGAGGTCTGATTGAGCTTACATTAGATAAATAAGGAGTCAGTTGCTTAGCTAGCCCAAGCAGAGGCCTCACATTCTCTCAAAGCCCTCAAGAGCCCTTTAGTGTTATTACTAAGCTCATATTGAGTGAACTGGGAATAGATGCCCATCTCACACATCTGGAAAAGCTCAGCCTGTGATCTAGGCTATATTTCTGTTTTAATCCATGGTACCTTCCATTCTGGTAAACCCTAACCTTACTGTAGAAACCTCAGTTTTAGGATTGTGAAGGGACCTTTCCCCAGCCAAAGGCAATAGCCACCATCATCTGTATGGCATGGAGAAGCAATTAAACTTGGAGTCCTGAACCACCAGTTGGGACCTAGATGAGAACAATACAAATACAATTACCCATCACATTGCTGGGACCTCTTCCCCAAAGACATATGTTGAGTCCCTGTTTCCCCAGTCCAAGCCCTGTAGACTAGTGCATAGAGCCAGTTCAAGGACACAGCCACAACTTACTCTAGTGGGAAGTAACAAGTTATACACTGTATATACGGTTGTGATTAGTCATAAATTCAACCTCATGTTGCTTGTTTGGCTCTGGTTTACAGCACTTCCAATTCCTTCTAAATAGTTCTTGTTCATACCCATCCTGACCTGTTAGGCCTTTCCCCAGGTCTGACCCCTGGACTTCAAATTTCTTTCCCCTAACTCCCTTTGCTACCCACCAATGCAAAACCATCAATAGATCCTTTGTCTCCATTTGGTATCCATAGGGACAGTCATTCCTGTTTAGACATCATAGTCACTCCCTAGTTGAAACCACAGTTTGAATCACAGGTGACTTTCCTTCTCCTAAGCTGATTCTCCTCTATTCAGTATTGGAGATAAAAAGACAAATCCCTTTTTAAAAATTTTTTACTTGTTCTTTTTAGTTAAACATGACAATAGAATGTATTTTGACATATTATAAATACAGGAGTATAACTTCCCATTCTTGTGAAAACAAATCTTTTAATAGTGGTTGGGTACAGTTTTGATCAGTCATGAATTCAACCTCACATTAACTTGTTTGACTCTAGTTTATAACACTTCCAGTCCCTCCGGAATAGTCCCCAGTAAACTTCCTGGCAAAGTGCTGGTACCGAGCTGACATTCAAAAAGTGGTCGCTGCTGGGCTGGGATTGTGGCTCAGTGGTAAAGCACTTGCCTAGCGCAGCCAGGACCCGGGTTCGATCCTCAGCACCACATAAAAATAAAGGCCTTGAGTTGTGTCCATCTACACCTAAAAAAAAAAAAGTCAAGTCATTGCTACCATTATTAAAACATTTATTATTTATTCAGTGTGCATTTACTTGAGCATTTCCTTTGTCCTAGATACTGGGTTAAGTGATCTGACTTAACAGACACTACCCCTGCCTCCACTTGCCTTAACAGTCAAGGGAATAGACATATAAACAAATAAGTGTAATAAAGTAGGTGAGATATTAGAGGCCTGAGGACTCTGAGAATATGGTGGAGCTGACTGAGAAAAGGCTCCATAGAAGAGACATCTTTGAGCAAGGTCAGAGGGTTGTGTGAGTGCTGACCTCAAGGTTCACAAAGAGCATTCCAGGCAGAGGGGACAGTGTAAGCAAAGGCACAAAGGCATTAGCGGCCCCAGGAATTGTAAGATCTGCAAATAGCTCAACCAGGTTGAAGCATGAGGTGCCAGGGTTCAGCATGATGTGGCTGGGGACAGAAAATCCAGAATTAAGGTTGTGACTAGGCACTGTGGTAGTGCCTGTAGTCCTAGCTACTCAAGGCATTGAGGCAAGAGGATCAGTTAAGCCCAGGAATTGGAGTCTGGCCTAGGCAACATGGAAAGACCCTGTCTCAAAAAAAAAAAAAAAAAAAAACCTGAATCAAGGAATGTCTTGTTTGCAGCCATTGTAAGAGTTTTGGTAACAGGTGACTTAAAAAGATGAGGATGAAGGCAGGGAGACCAGGTGGGAAATAATTGGAAGAGCTCGGGACTCAGGAGGTTGAGGTAGGAAGGTGGCAAGTTTGAGGCCAGCCTCAGCAACTTAGTGAGACTCTATCTCAAAATAAAAAATATAATAATAATAATAATAATAATAAAGTCTGGGGACATAACTCAGAGGTAAAGTTCCCTTGGGTTCAATCCCCAGCACCAAAAAAGAAAGAGAAAGAAGGAAGGAAGGATGGAAGGAAGAGCTCCGTTGCTCAGATGACAGGACAGTTGGGAAGGAGATCAGCAGGGGTGAATCTGGGAGTTCAGGGGAAGAATCGGTAACTGATTGGATGTTGGGGTTGAGGTGGGAAATAGTTTGGGGAACTCTCAGTTCCTGACTTGGCAACCAGGTGGAGTCGCCAACTCAATGCAGTCACTGAGCCTGGAGGCCAGTGTGAGGCTAGTCTGGAGGAGGCTAGTCATCGCATTAAGATGTCCAGGAAGTCATTAGCTGTTAGACTGAGTACAGTGTAAGGAAAAGATGCAGAGAGACTGAAGACAAAGGAGGGCACAGGCCTGGGAGCAGCTTTGGAAGAATGAGGAGATAGGTACTAGCCAGCCTTTATCTTTACCTACAAATCCTGCTTCATTTCCAGCCTTCCTTTTGTGGTCCAGAGTCCTATGACACTTCCTGGTTACCTCACTTTGGATCTTGTCTTGATTATAGGCATGTATATTCTATTCTTAAATCTATTAGGTATACCTGGCCTGGGATTCTGGGAAAACTACATTGGTGGATTTTTTGTTTTTTGTTTTTGTTTGTTGTGTGTGTGTGTGTGTGTGTGTGTGTGTGTGTGTGTGTGTGTGTTTTGCTGGGGGTGGAACCCAGGTCCTTGCACATGCTGGCAAGCACTTTACAGTGAGTTACATTCTATCCCTCACATATGTTCCATTCTTAAATCTGTTAGGGTGTTTATACCTACTAGTTACAGAAGCCCTAATTCAAACTGGTTTAAATGGTAGGTGAGTTTTTTATTTCATTTAACTACAAGTCCCTGAGGTAGGACAGATCTGAGAGGTGGTTTATTCTGCTGTCTTTGGATCTGGCATCATCTTCAGAATGGTGGTAGACTGAAAGCTATAGACATCACATCCAAATGCAACAGTGCCCCTCCACCTTGCAGTAAGGTCCTTCACCCTCCCAGGACACATATCAATCACCAAGAGAATGCCATGCTCTGACTGGCTGAGGCCAATTAGAATCCTCCATAAGAGGATTTATGGGGTATAGCTTAGTAGTTTTCAGCATATACGAGGACCTGGATTTCATCCCCAGCACCACACACATACACACAAAAATCACCAATATAGTTTAAGATCAAATTTTTGTAGACCCTAAATAAAACCAGGGTCTAGGTGAGAAATAAAAGGAAGGCAGGGGATGCTGATAGGTAGCAATAGTATCTACCTTGATTCTCAGTTTTCTTATGGAAGGGTAAAGCCTTTGAAGAAAGTTTCTTGCATTTCTTTACTGGAGAGAGCATATGCCTAATTTATTACTTCTTTTTTTCTTCCACAGCTCCTTCATTCCTAAATTCATCACCCACCTCTTCAAGTGCAAGCCAATTAGCATGGTGGGAGCAGAACAGGTGAGGTGAACTTTATATTGGACTGTTGCCTTAGAGCTTTTGTCATGGATCCAGCACATATCTTAGGACAGATCTACTCTGGAGAAATAAAATGACTGAAAGTGTTTTTGGAGTGTGAAAGGGTCATGGCTCTAGATTAAATAGTCAGAGAAGGTTTCTCCAAGGACTGATGCTTGAGAAAACACTTCAAGCAGAGGGAGCAGCAAAGCCTCTGATTGGTTTGAACCCATAGTGACTGGACTAAGACCCTTATGAGAGAGAGGCTTATCTGTTTGATACTGAGCAACTCAGATCACCTCCCCTAAGAAACTTCATGATTAGCTTCCCCCTGCTTGCTTGAATTTTATACAAACTAAGGCTCCTCTTAGTTTGTCCCCTTGGCACTGATGGATTGGCTTATGTGCTACAGCACAGCTACCTCTTTTCAGCTGCTACCTAGTCAGACCATCTGAAATAGGCAATTTGAGTTCAATAAGCAGTTTAAGCTGCTTTTAAAAGAAAAACCAAAAAATCAGAAAGAGCTGGGGATGGGCTAGGGATATGGTTCAATCGTAGAGGCATATGTGTAGCCGTAGGCTCCTCCCCAGCACCACAAAGGGTGGTAAAGCATTCCTGGGTTTAATCTCCAACACTACAAAAAGAAATGAAAAGAAAAACAATAATATTCGTATTCAATCCCTACTTTGTTTTTGGGTTTTGTTTTGTTTTGTTTTGTTTTTTGGTACTGAAGATCAGACTCAGAGGTGCTTTACACCTGAGCTACATCCCTAGCTCTTTTTATTTTTATTTCAAAATGGGGTCTTGCTAAATTACTGAGGCTGACCTCGAACTTGAGATCCTCCTGCTTCAGACTCCTGAGTCAATTATGGGTGTGTTCCACTGTGCCTGGCTTCTACCCCTAATTCTTTCAAAATACTACTTAAATGCAAAGTTTGCAGGTGCTAATCAAAAATGATTCACATATTCAATAAAATAAATCCTCTCTAGACATTTTATCTGTAAACTCTTAAGAAAACATGTAAGAAGATTGTGTAATTCAAGATACTTTTGTAAACCCTGTCCTTCCACCAAATTCATCAAGAGTGGCAGAGGATCCATCTCTCACAGCTCACTGCTGTGTTGGTCCCAGTCATGCCTCTCAGTTAGAGGGCAGATTAACATGTGCCATTGGGCATCGTGTTCTCTCATGAGATTCAAAGCCAGGTGTAAGATCTATGTATGACAAGATCTCTTGAATCAGATAAGTGCGGAGTGAGCTAGCATCAGTCCAGGTTATAAAGTGGCAATATGGTATGAGCATTCACGTTGGTAGTGCTAGAATCACAAAGGTCAGAAGCTGAAACTTGTTTCTGCAACACAGCAACCATTAGTCCTTAGGCAGATATTTAACCTGGCATCACTTCACTTTCCTCAACTATAAAATAGATGTAACCAGTGCCACCTGTTATGAGGATTCACCAACACGGTGCACATGGCATGCTTGGGACCAGTTCTGGCACATGGTCAGGCCACACTAAATGCCAGCTCTTCGTGAGGTTAAGCTTCCTCAGACCAGGGACATGACCTTGTCTCTGTTTTTATTGCCCATCTTCCCTAATAACTCTTCCACATGCAGCCTATGTAGAAATATTCATTGCTTGCCACAGGCACTCTGTCTGACCAGCTTTAGCCAGAGTCAAAAGTGTTGTCTCAGAAAGCTTCCTGGGAGGTTGTGCAGATTCAGACACTGGCTGGGCCTGACTTATGCAGTTCAGCACTCTGAAATTCTTGACCCCTGCGTGTCTTAAGCACAGAGCTCATTCTCTCTGTCGGAAGCAGCAAGCAGCAGGATGATGCCCTGACATGCTGTCTACAGTTTCTTCTTCTTTTTTTTTTTTTTTAATATTTAAGTCATTTTTTAAATTTTTGTTTTAATTTCTTGATTTAAACTATATTTATTTATTTTTTTATTTGTTTTAATTAGTTACACATGACAGTACAATATTCAAATGTATGATATGTCAAGGTCATTATACTATCATGTCTGCAGTTTCATTAGCATGTGTTTACCAGCAATTCATTCTTTTCACCTTGTCATTGTATGTGATCAGAGAGGATACAGAGTGATTAAGATCTGTGTGTCTGGGAGAAGCTATAGAGTTCTGGGTGCCTGTGTTTCTGTCTACAGACTTGGTGAAGCCCCTAGACACAGAACTGATCAGAGGAAAGGTGTTCTCCTGAGTTTATAGCTTTGCTCAGGCCTTGCAGCTGGGTTAATGTCTCATAACCATGATATTTTCACATTATCACATAAATTCAATATTGTATCAATTTTTCTTAGACTTTTTCTTCTTTAAAAGAATATTAGAATAATCAGCTCAGATCCAAAGCTAGTGTCTACAGAAAAGTATCATTTTGGCCAGTGTTTACTTCTTTCTGCTCTGAGATATGGATGAGAAAACCATCTGCTGAAACTAGAGTTTTACTTCAGCAGACCCCAGGCAAATACAAAGTAGAATCTTCACAGGTCTAGCCTGAGAGACTACAAGAGCAGTGAAGCCCTTGAAGGATTCCCATGTGAAGTTCAGATTTTACTGGGTATATGCCTGCCCTGAGTATCGGGCTTTAAAGGCCAAGCTGTCATGTTGGTGGAGCCTGGTTCACTGGGGCAGCAGGATCATAGGAATCTAGAAGTGAACAAAGAGATGTTCATGGAACGAAACAGTTTCTGCCTCAAGTCGTGGAGTGGCTGAAATCCAAGCTTTAACAAAAGCTGTAAGATTCAAAGCTAAGATTTAGCCTAATCTCAGCTGTGTCTGCTTTGCCACATAGGTACTAGCTCCTAAATTTAGGTTATCCTTCATTATTAATACCAAAAATGGAGAAGGAAATGTTTTTTTGTTTTTTATTCATGTCCTGAGTACTACATAAAGTGAATTATTTATTTTTGGGCCCCAGAGTTCTCTTGAGCAAAATTGAAAGGGCACATGGAATTGAACCATACTGGTATTTATAATGCCTCTTTCTAGTTTGTAATTTTCAGAGAATCTTGTGGGATTTGCAGGGTCATTAATTAGTTTTACGACCATGGCCATCTATAACTGAACACACAGCAGAAATGGAATGCCTGAGCTAGGATAGAGAAAGCACCAAGTATGATATAGGGGGAAAAAGACAGGGAGTCCAGTCCTCTCTCTCTTGTTAAAGGTCCCTGTGGTCTCAAACAGTTGCTTTCCTGCTCTGAGCTCTGTTTCTTCCTGTTTAAATAAGAACACTGAACCAGGTGCTCTCAAAAGCCCCTTCTAGATCTATCATATTGTGTAGTCTAAAATACTCCGAGCAGTATACTTTGTGTCTATAAAATTATTTTTTCCTTTGTATTATCTTTAGATACCATATTGACTTTTTAAAATTCTTGATATGTAACATAAAATTTACCATTTGGGCCTGGGATTGTGGCTCAGTGGTAAAGTGCTCACCTAGCACATGTGAGGCCCTGGGTTCGATCCTCAGCACCACATAAAAGTAAAATAAAGATATTGTGTCCAACTTAAAAAAAAAAAAGAAGAAGAATTAAAAAATTTACCACCAAGCTATTCCCCAGCCTTTTTTTATTTTTATTTTTTATTTTTAAGACAAGGTCTCATTCAGTGGCTTAGGGCCTCTCTAAATTGATCCTCTTGCCTCAGCATCCTGAGTCACTGGGATTACAGTCATGGGCCACCTGCCCAACTCATGTTAACCATTTTTAAGTACCTGCTTAATGTCTAGAAGTTTATATATGTTGCTGTGCATCGATCTCCACCATCACCTCTGGACCTTTTTCCTCTTTCCCAGATGAATCTCTGTACCCATTCACTATCTAGTCCCCATTCTCTCCTGTCTCCAGCCCTGGAGTCACATCCTACTTTCTGTCTCTATAAATTGACTACTTTAAGTATTTCATATAGGTGGAATCATACAGTATTTGTCTTTTTCTGTCTGGCTGGTTTTAATTTCTTCCCAGTTCTTCTACATGTGTCAAAAATTTCTTCCTTAAGGCCAAGTAATATTTCATTACATGTATATGCCATATTTTGACCATATTGACTTTTTAAACTCACCTAATTCAAAGCCATCCAAACAAAAAAAAATGTGTAAAGCAAATATAAAGATTTTTTTTAAAGTACAAGCATCACAGAGAGGGAAAAAGAAAGTCAGATTTATATTTAGCATAGCATTTGGAAAAATGAGAAAGTAGGATAGTTATTCTCAGGCACACTTCTTCTAGGTAAATCCCGAAAAGGTGGCTGGGTGTTTTTAAGTAATCCTTAAAAACAAAATGGAGCTGGGTACTATGGCACATGCCTATAATCCCAGAATTTTGGGAGGCTGAGACTGGAGAATTGCAAGTTCAAGGCCAGCTTTAGCAACTCAGGAAGGCCTTAAGCAACTTAGTGAGACCCTGTCTCAAAATAAAAAAACAAAAAAAGCTGGGGGTGTACCTCAGTGGTAAAGTACCCTTGGGTTCAATCCCTAGTACCAAAAAAGACCCAACCAAAAAAAAAAAAGTGGATTGATAAAATTTAATATCTATTTAATAATAAAAATTCTACATCATAGTGAAATTGAAGGGAAATTATTGAATCTGATAATGGATATAAATAAAAATTTAGGAGTGTGTATATAGATTTTATGGGACATTTGTCAGAATTACAGAGTTAAGAATTACACATTTCACCTTGCTCAGTGGCACACACCTATGAACCCAGAGGCTCCAGAGGCTGAAACAGGAGGATTGCAGATTCAAAGCCAGCCTCAGCACAAGCAAGGTGCAAAGCAACTCAGTGAGACCCTGACTCTAAATAAAATACAAAATAGGGCTGGGGATGGGGCTCAATGTTCAAGTGCCCCAAGTTCAATCCTTGGTATGTCCCCCCACCCAAAAAAAATTATACATTTCAATGTGTATATATTTTACCTCAAAAAAAATTGAGCAAGTGGTAGAGGGTGAATATAGCAGGATTTCTCAGCCTCTGCAA